TGCGTCCTCCCCCCCCCCCCCCAAAAGTGCCCCTGGGTAGCGGAGAGTCCCAGACCAGGCTGAGCCAGGGCCCAACCCTGGTTCTCTGCCGCTGCTGGGCTGGGGGCAGGGTGGGTGGGGGGGCATGGTAGATCCTGGGGTGCTCTTTACTTCCAAAAAGTGATCTTTACCATAAAAAGGTTGGAGACCACTGTCTTAAAGAGACTTATGCACTTGTAATCAAGCTCTCCAAACTATGTGAAGTGCTAAATTATATTCAAAGCCTCCAACACCTTTGATTCTGTTGGAAGCAGAGCTTCACTAAAATGATCCTTACTCTCTGGACATCCTTCATTCTCTCTCCTTTTTGTTTTTTTAACTCAGGCTTGTTTCTCTGGACTTGCAGCAGTTACAGCTTTGAATAATTCCTCATCACTTCCTCCTCTGAATGTGACCAAGTCTTCTTCCACAGTCACAGTAGCTACATAGTCCTCTTTTGTCAAGTTGTCAGGGAGTGGAACATCATTTAGGCTGTCCTCAGACTTTTCCACGTCCTGCTTTGCTCTTTTTCCTCTTTGCACAACAATTTACTTTTTTGACACAGTTGAACATTGTAATTGGCTTTCTGACTTTTCATGCCTCAACAAGATTAACACAATCTAACAAATCTGTACATTTCAGACCAGTCTGAATATCAGTGTTGGGGCCCATAATGAGAGTGTGCGGGCTGGGAGCGGTCCGAGGCTTTCGGGGGGGCGCGGCGGGCTGTGGCCGGGAGCCCGCAACGGTAGGGCGGGGACTCTGGCACGATGGACTAGAATTAGGCACAGACTCGTAGCGGTTAATTAAAGATTGTTTTACTTACACCATAGGTGGTCGCGGTGCAGGCAGGAAAAACTTTCTTGAGTTGCAGTTACAGACAAACACAAGTGGAGTTTGCTAGGCTCCACCGAAGACACACGCACGGAGTTTGCTAGGCTCCGCAAAACAAACACGACAGAGCTCTGGATACCCTTGACGAGCGCGCAAAAAACCGTAGATACATCTTAAGAATTTAACGAACAAGACAGGAAGAGGTTGGTGGTTGGTCAGGCCGCCGAACTCCTCTGAGACACACACAAAGTTTCTATTACTCTGCCGTGTGCTCAGAGTCCCCACGAGATGGTTGTGGAGTCCTCTACAACTTGGGCGGAAACTGCTCAAACCTCTTATACGACTAGCGAGCCAATTGCTAGCCGCCACGTAGGAATAATTTAGAAACAGCCAATAGTGGGAAACAAATTTACATACGGGTGGCAGGAACTCCTTTGCACCGGGGTTTTCTCTCTGCAGCTGAGAATTGCACCGTGCAAAGAAAGCTCCATGTGGCGGGAAATAATTCTGCAGTGCCGAAGCGCACACACAATCATTGGGTCGTGACAGAGAGCAATAAAGTTCTACTTTGCAACCTCTGTTCAGTAATGTCCCTTCATGTTCTTAATGACTTCCTGCTCCATAAGTTGCCTTAAGATTGTACTGTTGGTGGGTGGGAATCTGAGCTGAATGTTAGGGAGAAACTTTTCTTCAGTGTGTGTAGAACAGTTATCCAAATAAAAGGCTTATCTTATGGCTCTAGATCTGACATTAATGATCTCGCTTTTTCATTTCTGACCTGTCATAATTCAGAGGGAAATGTAGAAATATCTTTCAGTAAAAAATTAGACATTTTAACTTGGTGATCAATGTATGCTGAGTGTTTCTCCCTCCCTTCCTTGTTAGTACATACAATTATAATTATAATTACCCTTTCTTTGAAACTTGCCCCCTGTCTGGCTCTTCCTTTTTTTTCCTCGATATTATCTATCACAGATCTGGTTCAGATAAAGTTCTGCTTCATCAGCACTGCAGATGTCAGTCAGGGAAACCTTTTCAATAATATGAGGAAGTCTTTAACTCTGCTGTTGTTCAGCTGTTGGGTAATCTGCCAACTGTTTCAACAAACTGAAGAGTCTTTTCCTTGGTTGTGGGTCCAGAAAGCACTGTTTTATGTGTTTTATGTGTTCTTTTCTTCTTGAACCTTATAAAGAGAGGCTCATTGACTGTTTTTTTCCCCTTCATGTACATGTTTATGGCAGCTCTTCTCCAATCAGTTTTTTAGGCCCCCCCTCTACATGTTATAGGTTTTGTGCAACTAACTGGTTAATTGTGAAGTTACCTGGAGACCAGCTACACATGCAAAGTAGCTATCACACAGTAAAAAGCTCCAACCAGCTATAAAATTAGACCTAAAAAATGTGCGCTAAATTTACAGCTCTTTGGTACTGAGCTTTAATTCCATGTGTAGCAGGGTCTGCCTTGCAGCTGACAGGGCTCCTAGCTGCAGGGTGCACCATACCCAGTGTAAAACCCCTGGGCCATGGGGATCATGGTTATCATGATCCCTAGGGTTTTGGGATGAGGGAAACCTCCAGGGCTGGAAGATTGAGAGATGAGTGATCCCCCTGCCCTGGGGGTGTGGGAAATCCAGGGCGGGTGGATTGCCACAGAGGTGATTCTCTGGCCCTCAGGGGTTTCCCACGTCCCTAGGGCAGGGGGGATTGCCCCTGCTGTAGTCCTCAGGCCTCAGGGGTTTCCCATACTCCCAAGCCCTGGGGATCATGGCAGCCATGATCCCCAGGACCCCAGGGATTTATGCTGAGCATGTTGCACCCTGTGGCTGGGAGCCCTGTCAGCTGGGAGCCCTGTCAGAGTGGGGAGTTTGCTACAGCAGTGATCCTCCTGCCTCAGGGGTTTAAAGAATTTAACTATGCTAACATAGCAGTGTTAGTTGATTAAGCATAACTTCTTAATGAAAGTCATTGCACTAATGTACACACATTCTCATATACTGACACCACATGTACAAACCACAGAATAAGATATTTAACCAAAAATGTTTTTTGTGACAGTGCTGCAAAAAAAGACATCAAAGAAGAAAAGGAAGTTAGACCTATTAGTCACGAACTGAAGAAGAAAGCGAGTATAATTTCCTCTGGATCTGTTAAAGCACAATCAGCCGCAAAACGGTATGGTTATTTATTTTATTTTTCTTACTTTACTTCAATTCATTTATTTTTCAGCACGTACAATAATCCTACTCAGCAACTGATAAATTTAACCCTGAATGCTTTTTCTAATGATGAAAAATCCTGCTGAATCCGCTATAGATGTATCTGTTTATAATAGTCTACTGTTAATAAAGCAAGCATTTTTCTCTTTTTATTGCTAGTAAAGTGTCAGAAAAGTCTGAAGAAGCTAGTGAAAGTTCTTCAGAGAGTGAGGAAGATGAAGAACAGCCTGAACGTCACCAGGAAGGAAATACTGATTTGCCATCTGAATATTGGCAAATTCAGAAACTTGTAAAATATTTGAAGGTAAGAAAGAAGCTTAAAAAAATTCCCCAAGTATTTTAAAAATAAGGCTTTTAACTCATATATTATGATTCTGGAACTCTGGGCATCCCATCACTCACTCTTCTCTTAAACTTTATTTTCTTTTTTGGTAGATAACCTCCAAATTAATCTCTCTGTTTTATATGATAAACTATAGAATGATATAATTCCTTTATTAGTTACTGGGATGTTGGTTTTGATTTTGAGGTGTAGTATTCTAAAGTATTTCTTTAGGTGGATAACTGCTTTCAAGAGCTTTCATTACAATTGAATTCTTTGCCTAAAATCTTTCATCAACTGTGATTAATTATGACGGGCTCAATCCTAATATTGTCTTGTAACTGGTCCGACGTTGTTAGCCATCAAGAGAATGGATGAGAAATAGGGGTCCTCTAGAACAATAAAATATTTATTATATTGACTGTTGTTGAAAATATATTGTAGCATATAAGTAAAGATACTTCAAAACCTTTGTCTTACATAATAAAAACAACACTATTCAATAGAACTTCTAAACTAATTATCCTTTCCCCCAGCAAGACTGTCTTTACAAGTTTTCCTGAGATTTACAAAATATGATTTATAAGTAACATTCATGGTGTGGGTCCTGTATTCCTTAAAGACAGTCTTTTTCACAATGTGGTTTCCCAGTAGTTGAGATAATCAAGCTGCTGCTGTCAATTTTGCTATTTTAACTGAAATTTCAGTAATGGAGTGGGTGTTTTCAATATTAAATTCTTAGCTTTGGAATTTGTTCCTGATGTTGACCTCCCAGAATTTACTACCCTCACACTGACAGAATTGATATTCTCTCCCACTTTGATATAACTCACAACTCTTCTCTTCTCTACATAATCCTTAAATGACTGTATGTGACCTGGTCAAATGTTCAAACATATGCCATTGTGTATGAATCCATTATGAATGAACATAGTACAAAAATGTTTGAAAGTGGAAAAATATTTTGCTTTTTGTTTTAGAAATGGCCTGAACAGATTGTGTTCAACTTTTCAACAAAAACAAATTTACTTGGAGGCTTAAAGCAAATATGGGGAATTTCACTCCCCAAGGAACATTTTTGATAACATTATGAATATTTGAAAACAGATAGTTCTGTTTATCAAAATTCAGAATATATATCTCTCTGTGCATGTATGAGTACATGAAAACTTGAGATAAATTTTTAAATGAGATATAATTAAAATAAGTCCTTAGAGATTCTTAGATGAATAAAGCTAGTCTCCAAAGTGTCTGATAAAGCTGAAAGGAGATGTTACAGTGTTATAGCACAGACAATAGCAGAAGCACTTTATTAATGAAGTGCTACTTTAACTTGCACATGGAATTAATTTATATTTCAAGTGTAAATACTGCACTTCTGGCCAGACTAAGTAGAATTTTTGGCATTCTTGTTGTTCATGTGGGCAAGTGTTCATGACATATCTGGCATAAGAAAATGTTCATGTACAAGCTATTTTAATATTTCAGCAAATTTAAAATAATTGACACAAATATTTGCATAGATTTATGTAGATAGACTTTATTTTCAGGACCTGTGTGTGCATGGCATGGACGTGCATGTTTATGTTTGTGTGCATTCTTGAAAAGTTAATGCTATATATTGCACACTTTACAGGTGAACTAAAATACCTTTTGAATTATAAAACTGTTTGAGATGTAATTTTAGAAACTATGATAATTTGAACTGAACTAAACATTTTTTCTTTGGACATTTACTTCATATGACTCTTGGATTGACTCACCAAAACCCTTTATTAAGGTGACTTAATAAAGCACTTTGACTGGCAGAATTTGATTTTAATTTTTTAATAATTTTGATGGCTAAAATCAATGTTTATTTTGAAGCATTCATAGAATCATAGAAAATTAGGGTTGGAAGGACCTCAGGAGGTCATCTAGTTCAACCCCCTGCTCAAAGCAGGACCATCCCCAACTAGATTATTCCAGCCAGGGCTTTGTCAAGCCTGGCCTTAAAAACCTCCAAGGAGGGAGCTTACACCAACTCTCTAGATAACCTATTCCAGTGCTTCACCACCCTTCTAGTGAGAGAGTTTCTCCTAATGTCCAACGTAAACCTCCCTTGCTGGAACTTGAGACCATTGCTCCTTGTTCTGCCATCTGTCACCACTAAGAACAGTCTAGCTTGATCCTCTTTGGAACCACCCTTCAGGTAATTAAAGGCTGCTATCAAATCCTCTCTGTCTTCTCTTCTACAGACTAAATGAACCCAATTCCCTTGGCCTCTCCTCATAAGTCATGCGCCCCAGCCCCCGAACCATTTCTGTTGCTCTCCGCTGGACTCCCTCCAACTTATCCATATCCTTTCTATAGTTGGGAGCCCAAAACTGGACACAGTACACCAGATATGGCCTCACCAGTGCAGAACAGAGTGGTATAATTACTTCTCTTGGTCTGCTAGCAATACTTCTACTAATGCAACCCAGTATGCTGTTAGCCTTCTTGGCAACAAGGACACACTGCTGATTCATATTCGTCTTATGGTCCACTGTAACCCACAGGTCCTTTTCTGCAGAGCTGCTGCTTAGCCAGGCAGTCCACAGGCTGTAGCAGTGCATGGGATTCTTCCATCCTAAGTGCAGGACTTTACACTTGTCCTTGTTGAACCTCATGAAATTTCTTTTGGCCCAATCTTCCAATTTTTTTAGGTCACTCTGAACGCTAGCCCTATCCTCCAGTGTACCTACTATGCACCCCAACGTGGTGTCATGCATGAACTTGCTGAGGATGCAATCCATCTCATCTTCCTGATCATTAATGAAGACGTTGAACAAAACCAGCCCCAGGACCAACCCTTGGGGCACTCCACTTGATACCAGCTGCCAACTAGACATTGAACTATTGACCATCCATTGAGTCTGACAGTCCAGCCAGCTTTCTACCCATCTTATCATCCACTCATCCAACCCATTCTTCCTCAGCTGGCTTGCAAGAATGCTGTGGGAGATGATATCAAAAGCCTTGATAAAGTCAGTCATGGTATATTACGTTCACTGCTTTCCCCACATCCACAGAGCCAGTTATCTCATAGAAGGCAATCAGGTTGGTTAGGCATGACTTGCCATTGGTGAATCCATGCTGCTCTCCCTGATTACTTTCTTCTCCTCCAAGTGCTTAGAAATACATTATTTGGGGACCTGCTCCTTGTTTTTTCCAGTGATTGAAGTGAGGCTGACTGGTCTCTAATTCCATGGATCCTTCCCTTTCTTAAAGATAGGCACTATATTTGCCCTTTTCCAATCATCCAGAACCTCCCCTCATTGTCATGAGTTTTCAGAGATAATGGCCAGCAGCTCTGCAATCACATCAGCCAGCTCCCTCAGTATTTTTGATTTCTATAGATTTTTATTCATTTAAATTTTCAGGACTGTGCAAAATTAGGGGTGTAGGGGTCAGACAATTTAGTAATGACAGTATACTGTTAAAAGCTTTATAAAATCACCTGTTAAAATATAAAAAATAAATATCCATAAATCAATACCTGATCATTCAGGGACTGGGCTGGGCTCACTGGGGCCCCTGCCCTGATCACACAGACCCATGGGATGGGCTCGGTGAGAGTTTGGTGCCTGATCCCCAGCTGGGACTTGGGCAGAGCAAGTGGCTGGTGGCATCGGGGTCCTGGCAGCCTTGCCTCTCCAACCCCTCTACCAGCACAGCCCCCAGCTCCTGTAGTTGCTGCCTAAACCACTGCCAAAGGAGTAGTGCATAGGCAGTACAGCCAGGGCTACCTCCATCCTGTCTGCAGCAGCCACCGTGTGTGTGGGGGCGGGGCACAGATTTCCCCACAGATTTCCTTTCTTTTTGCCACAGATTTCCTTACCTGGAATTTTTTTTTAGTCTTAAAAATGAAAGACATTAAATTTAATGTCTTTACATTTTTAAAGTTTCTATAAATTTTGATGATTACTGATGGAAATATTTTTTTGTCAGTCTGTGAATATCAGGTGAAATCGACATTTATCAAAGTTTATAACTAAAAATGAATCCTATCAAGCCTAAATATATAGCAGACCTGTCAGTTCTATTGGTTTTCCCTCTAGTCTATAGATTTTCCCTATAGATTATAAAGAGGTTTCTCAAGAAAATCTCTAGGCCATAAGGATATTTTCGCCTGTATTTCATTTATTCATGTATTTTTGACTTTCATTTATTTTTAAACGTGTTTTAAAAATAAAATTGGTATAGTTTTTTCAGGAGGAGGGCTTCAATCAGCAATGCAAAAATCTCCTTAGTTTTGCTCCAAATCTATGACGGACAGAGATTCATTCACTGACTGGAGCAGAAATATTATGTGCCTTTCCCATCAATTCCATTACTACTTGTAGCAATTTGAAATTCAAAGAAAACTAAGGACAAAAATTTCAGAAGCTCCTTAATGATTTAGAACCTTAAATATTATTTTCATAAGTTACTTCAAGACTGGATAAATTATATTACACAGATGGACCACACATTTTTATACACTGCTATAAGTCACATCAGGATTCAGAGCAGACAGACATGCAGACATCCCGAGGCAACTGCATGCAGTATGCTCCTAGTACTAAGTGTTGGCATAGGTGACTGCGAGCAGGGTTTCTCAGACCAAATGGCTACTCCCGTATGAGTAGGGTTACCATACGTCCAGGTTTCCCTGGACATGTCCTCTTTTGTGGACCCCTGTGCTGCATTGGGGTGGGCTTTTTAAAATAAGAGCAAATGTCTGGGTTTTCTGCTTTCCCAGGCTAGCTGCTTGGGGCTAGGAGCAGCAGGCAAGCTGATTGGCTGTCGGGGGTCACATGCTCTCTGCATGGGCTCTGGCAAGGGAGAGAGAGAGAAAGAGAGAGTGTGTGTGTGTAAGAGAGAGCAAGTGCATGCGCAATGCAGGAGCTGTTTGGGCAGCAGGGCTGGGGGTGGGGGGCAGGGGGCTGCGGGTTGGGAGTGAGGGGCATTGGCAGGGC